ATCAGTTTGGAAGGTCCCTTCTGAGAAAAAGGAACCACAGTTCATACTCCAGCACCATAAAATTCCCTTTGACCATAAAAAGATGATATGAAACAGCACTTTGAGGAGAGAAGTCCGTTAACAATACATTACAGTAAGGAGCAGCCAAGGAGCGTGTCTGAGAGCTTTTGAGAGCATTGGCCAGAGCCTCTTTGGGTAAGCGCTGGCATGGTTCCCTGGAGTCAACAGAGGTATGTGGCTTTTGCTGGGGGAGGATCTGGTCCCTGGCTTGTGTTCACGAAAGAGGAGCCCAGGAACTGTGACCCTTATCAAAACCTCCCCATTAGCACTAACTGGAACAGGATTTCATTTCTGGTGTCTGTCTTAATAGCCAGAGCTGAGCAAAAGAACAGATAGCAGGGCTTTTTTTTTTTTTTTTCTAAGAAAACCATTGTATGTGGATATATTTATTTGACTTAAGTAGTTGATGAGAAACATGGCTTAGACACAGGCAATGCATTAATCACTGAAAATCTGACTTTCAGAAAAATCAAGTAATAGGTTGCAGTGATTTGCTGTCAGAGGTCTGAGTTCCAGCTTTGCTGGTGAAGGGTTGTCTCTGTGGTTGTTCAGGAAAATCCTGCTTTATTCAATCAAGAGAAATAAAGTAGCGCACATATACATGCAGTGGTCATAGGGGCTGCAGCACTTCCTAGGCAATGGAAAACATCATCATACTTGTATTATTCACTCTCAGCTGAAAGGGCTCAGACTGGCCTTGGACCTTGCATTACACCCAATGAGAACATAAATTGTCTCTTTACAAATCTGTGAAACAGGACTAAGTCTGGAAATCATGGCAAAGTGTATGCTGAGCAAGTGTCTGCAGGGAGGCCATCCTCTCTTACTCAAGATTTCGGTATGTATCCCACAGAAAGGCAAACAAAAATAAAGTGCATTGCTTCAGTTTTACACCATGTTGCCATAAATCTTCTCTCCATGTGAATTACAGCGAAACTGTGCACAGCTACCGAGCTGCGCTGCTTCCTTAATACACTTGCACTGTAGATGGGCTTTTTGCATGCTTTGGCAGACAGACCTGCCCCTCACTTGGATTTTATATAGAATGTAAGAAAAACAAGGGCTAGTTTTTTCTTAATGTACTTTGCTGGCTTGCTTTTATAGCTGTCTAATTATTTTTTGTAAGTTAATTGCTGTAGTTTATATTTGCATTTTTGCTGCACTGTGTATTTCTCAAAGTCAGAGTCATCAAAAAGAAACACTGGGCAGGCACAATAAGGAGTCAGTCTAACAAAGACCCCTTTGTGCATTAAACACAGCCGTGCTGTGGCCTTTGCTGACTCAGGTCTTCAAGGTATGGCACAAGTTCTTGTGAGTTCATGTTATGACATTGAAGAAATCTGCTTAAATTTTTTTTTCTATCTTTTCCCAATAGGAAATTGGCTTTTTGATTAAATACATTTGCTTGACTATATTATCACTACTTTCTACCAGCACCAACCTGGGAGAACACTGTTGATACATCTAAACCTACGTAAAATGTTAAGCAGCTCTTATACTCCCTAAACTGTGACTCTTCTGACATTCATGGCTCAGAAATAATGTGTCAGAGAGGGGGAATTCGACCTGCTTGACCACCTGTGAAGCTGCTGCATCTTCCAGTGAAGAGACCTCGGGTCTCAGCTGAACTCTACAAACTGTCCATGTGTGTGCTCCTAGCCACAGTGAATGGGAAGGTAAAGTGCTTCTGCTTGAGCTACCTCTGTCTGGATGGAGCCATCCTGGAGGCCGACTGTCTGTCTGAACTCCAGCGTTGTAGGCATAAAGAGTAATATTTTAGCGTAAGAACCCACCTTCTGTCTCAGTGTAGAGATTTCTGTGTCTGCTTTGCTGCTAGGAGGCAAATATTTCCTAGAGAGGACTCTTCTGTTTCTACTTTTGACATCTTTAGCAGAAGTTTCCTTAACATTATGTTCATCTGAAGCCAGTATAAAACTTTTTTTTCCCTTCCCTTCCCTTTGCATTACCTTTGCCTTCCCTTTTTTTCAATCACTAAATGGCCATCATATATCTTTTTCAACATAATTGTCATGACAGAATTTTGGAGTTGCCTCTTTGCTGAAGTTAACCAAAACCTCAGTAATGCATCAAGCAGCTCCGAGCTAGCCATTGTCACAGCCCAAGTCACTGCCATGTTACTGCAGACAGATACAGGTTAATTGTCACTTTAAATGTTTATCCTCTTGTTTGCATTTCCAAAGCGTTTCAGCTGTGGAACCCTGAATCACTCCCTTCCCTCTCACACAGTATTTTCATGGTTCAGCATATCCCGATCTCTCCAGCACCGCCACCAGCCGCAGTGTCCTGGTGCAGAACAGGAGGTGGGCTGGGGGCGATGGCAACTCTGCACCAGGTGGAAACAATTATGGGAAAAAAACGTGGTCCGCACTGGATGAGTTACTGCTGATAGCTGCCAGATAAGCTAACTTAATAAAGTGGTGGCTTAATTAAGCCACATTCCTTGCATCTTGCCTTTCGTCCTGCCTGTCTGGGGCGATGCTATCAAGCAGCTACCGCTTTGTAAGACAGGGCAGGGGGGTGCTCTGTGTCCCACAGAGGGGGGACCTGCGGGCAGTGGAACATGGGGGTGCTCCTGCAAAGCTCAGCTCCCCTTTCAGTGTGCAAGGGGGTGGGCCACAAAAGCCTGCAACAGCCGCTGCTTGTCTAGTCACAAATGTGTTGTTGGTATCAAAGGTTTGACCCTAAATCCCATCTTCTGACACTCCGTGATCCAGGAGCACCTCGACCTCCAGAGCAGCATAAGGAGCATATCCCTCAACATATCCCTTCTTCTCCTACAGCTACCTGTCAGAAAAAGGTGACTTTGCTTTGAAAGAGTCCCCATGCCTATGGATTTTCTTACAGATAACACAAGAGCTAGACATTGCAGTGACTGAAATAATGGTGCCCAAAACTCTCTGTGAATTTTAACTTGGGCATGTTCCTGAGTGAAGATTGCACGAGAATCAGAAGATGATTAATTTTTAATAGCTGAAACACCCTGTGAAAAACAGTAACAGATAAATCTGCCAGAAATTTCTCCTTTTGGAAACCATATTTAAATTTAACGAATCAACTTAATTTCCCCGTAGATCCAGATTTTAGTGGTTGAGCTTCTTACACAGACATGTATTAGTTTGTGTTTGATGAATGCTCACATGCACAGCTGCGTAGCAACCAGCTCTCTGAAAGTTATTCAGTAGCTAAAATTATCAGTGGAGACCCCCTCTTACCTCTCATTATGTATAACGAGATCGCTGCTGTGCAACGTTGATTAGACATGTCAACCTGGAGCTGGATGTCTGAAAATGAGTATTGCTATTAAAATGCCTTTGCTAATGATCAACTCATGTGTCCATCATTTTGACAGATTTCTCTTTAAGAATGTAAAAAGCTAAAGCATGCAGAAATCCCAGGGTTGCAATGTAATGTTCAGAGAAATGGGTATTGCCGTATTGTATTTCCTGTGCATTAACCCCAAAGTAGCACTTACCCTGGCAAAATCATGCTGATGGCTGAAGCTTGCTGTTAAGTATGGGCTGCACTAATACAGAGATCTGTAATCTTGAACTGGGAACCAGTTATCATAGGGAGGTGGTTTCTGGAGTGTGATCCTGAGAGCAGGGCATCCCTCCTCTAAACCACTTCTTTAGGTGTGATTTGGAGCTTTCATTATATGGAAAAATCTTCAGGTATTTAGAGAAAACATTTCCAAATCTCCTTACCAGTAAACCCTGGGAAAATTGAACAAAAATTGAAAGGGAGACTGAAAACAAGAAAATAACTTCTCAGAAACATCTCATCCCCCCGTGGAACTCATTGCTGCAAGAAGCTGTTGAAGAGATGGATTTCATCAGGGACTTGGATATCTTGCCAGGGCAGCATCATTTTCTGGCTGCTTTAACAGGAGCAACCCCTGTCAAGGCTACGCAAGGCTGTGCTTACTTCAGGGTGCCAGGGCAGTACTGAATGGCTGTAACTCAGTGTGTGGTAGGTTCTCAGCATGTGGCAGTGAGAGAAGTGTTTGATGAGGGTGAGTGCTTTGGCTATCAGGAGAATCCACAACGGCAGATAAAACCACAGTTTATCCACAAGAAAGCCAGCAAGTCCAGACAGAAGCCGTTGCTGGCCAAGTTGAGAGGAGAGAGGCAGCTCCTGCAAGGTTCCCAGCAGATGAGCCCTTACCCAAGAGCAGGCTATGCTGGCTGAAGTTTGCATCTGCTGCCATAAGCCACTCCAAGATTGGGAATCCTAAGGGTCCTAACCCTGAAAATCAAGTGTAAATTCCCAGAGAGAATGGTAGAAATGATGAAAGCTACTGCTCCCTCTTTCTGGTTAGTCCTGGCTGGCACAACCTCATGGGTCAGCATCTGATGGCAGGGATGCCCTCCCCTCCTTTCCCATCTCACAGTCCTCTTTCAAGCCAGGCTGTATCTTATTCTAAGAGTGCCTAGAAGGAAGCCTTTATCAGCCTTCCTTCTTCCACAGACAGGAGGAGATGAATGTGCACTTGGAAAGCCAGCAGCATGGCTTGCAGCACATGGACAGCCTCCCTGATGCACCTTTGAACTCATTCCTCTTGCATTTGTTTGTCTTGAAGATAAAACCTCACAGCAGTGTTTGGAGAAAAGTCTAATGAGGGACCACTGTTTGCATAACAAAGCAAGGCTTCCTCTTCAGATGTTCAGCCTTCATTAAGCATAATTTATATTCCAGCTAATCTTTGGAAGAGGGTAAAATATGGAGCCCAAGTTTGTTTTTACATAGTTTGGAGTAATGTATTGTTTGTTTTAAGTGGTCAGTTCAACTGGTAGTTGATTTAAATTCAACATAATGATGATTTGTGATGGCTGCGTGTTGTCCAGGGGAGTGTTGTGTCATTGACTGCCATGGCTTTAGCACTCTTCCGCATCACTTACTGAATTAAAGGGTAAGACCAAATGAATGGTTTCCCAGTTTTGCAGATGTTCCAGCATGTCCACAAGGTATGAGAAACTATGAATTTGTAAAATGTAGTGTTTTTTTTCTCCTCAGACTCATGTAGACTTGATAAAATAGCACACTGAACAGCAGTTTGTTTCGCTTGCAGTATTCCTGGTAGCCACAACTTGGGACCTTTTGAAGGTCAACGGGTCCCTGCAGTTAGTAGCTCTCTGGGTGATACGGGACACAGCTGTTTGCAAAGGCTCCTCAGTGCTGCTGGGAGTCCTGGTGACTTGATGTGATTTTCTGCCTAGGAAGCAAGCAAGCAGGTACAACTGAATGCCTAAATGTCATTACAGGCCAGTGTGTAAGAAACATGAATTTCTCAGCACTCAGACTTTGTTCATATTCATAGGCACAAGTATCTGATCCTGTTAACTCTTCACTCCAGTTTTGTCCCCCTGGGGGAAGATACTCTCCCTTGCTCAGCTGAAATACCCAATATATTTATTTCACTTACCACCTTCCAGGTTTTTTAAAAGATGAGAAATGACCAATAACATTTATCTTGTGTGTACTCCTCACTGAGACTTATCCCTTTTTTGCAAGTTTACATTGTAATGACAGATGTTTGAAAACACCCTTCATCATATAATGAAAATTATGACCTGACTCAGGTATATAGACAGCACCAAGGTGTGCTGCCTCCTTTCAACACGAGGGAGCAGGTTTCCAGAAACTACTTGGGATGTTGTTGGTCAGCTTTGGGGTACCCAGCCCCATGCTCCTGAGGCAGCTGTCCATGCTGTCATGTAAAATGCCTCATGGACTGAGTGGTGGGTTTCCATGTTGTTTTCCTTAATGCTGAGTTACTTCCAACTGCAAAGCTCAGGATCTTCATCTTGTTTGGTTCATCGCATCTATGATCTACCCTTGACTGTTTTTAAAGGCAGCACCAACCTTTAGAGAATATATTTATTTATTCATTTATGTATTTTATTGTTTTTCAGGAAAAAATGCTGTAAGGGTTATAAGTTTGTTCTTGGACAGTGCATCCCTGAAGGTATGTGATTTCACTGTTCTTACCCCTAATGTCCCTGTGCATTTGTCTTTCCTTACTTCCCCTGTTCTCCACACTGCCAGTTTGGAAGAGCATCCTTATATAACCACAGGCTCAACCATATCTGATGTGTCAGTGGGGGAACTGTTTCCAATAAATTGTTGAGAAAACAAAAGGAGCAACATCTTCCAAGTTTTGCTTAGCATGCCAGGTCTTGATCCTTCCCAAAGTACATGTGGCTGCACAGATCTTGTACCATGACCTGTTGCAAACTCAGCATTCTGCTCTTGGCTAGGTACATGGGAGAACTCCGTGCACCCAGGAGTGCACCTTTCCTGGCTGATGGCTTTCCCTTTGTACCGCTTGGATCTGGCACAGCCAGTTTGGCTTTGTAAGTGCACAGGGAGTGAGCAACTAGGAGAGTTAGTGCTGCCTTTAGTTACCTATTTCCCGAAGACATTAGCAAGGGGAGAGCATTGCCAAACAGTGTCTGTCTTCCACCACCTCTCCTGGTCATGGACATGGCTTCCTTGTCACCAGGGGCAGAGGGAGAATTACTTAGGGCAGTGAAAAGGGAATGATCCCCTCCTGGCAGAGGGGAGCTGCCTGTACACTTTGTAAAAACAGCAGAGGGGTCCCAATGATCAGAGGCTGCTGCAGCGAGACCTCATTTAGGAGAGGATTGAGGTCTGCCTTCCTTAACCTTGGTGGAGGCCTCTCTTGGGTCTCCCCAGCAGATGGATTCACATGAGCAGTAGCAATGTGACTTCTTCAATCACTCCCATGACTTTGCCCAATCTGGATGAAATTGGCTCTGAAGTTATAGGAACAGAGGAACTGTCAGGCAGTAGCAAATGGCCAGAGACAGCAAGCCAATAAACTTTGTTCCAAAAAGCAGGTTGAAAAGTTGGTTTATGGTAACACATCCTTCTATCTGATGACATATGGAAAGCCTCAAGTTGACCTGAGAGTTTTCCAAGTTTGGGATGGTGATGTTTTGAAAATAAAAATAGCAAATTAACATACTGGAGAGAGCTGATTTTTGAGTTACAGTCTCCAGTCAACAGGGATTATAACCCAAACACTGACACTGCTGGTTTTTTGGTTTTTTGGTTTTTTTTAAATATGTATCTTTGTTGCTGGCTGGAAACACAAGAAGACTCCTTGGGAAAAAAAGAAAAAAAAAAAAAGCCACAGCAGGATTTGGGTGAAATTGATGCTCACAGGGAGTTCCTTGTCTTGCAATTTTGTCTCGGTGTGTGTGCCACGAGATGACAGCTCCAGTGCAAGATGGACAGTTGGAGGAGGTGGTTGTGCTGTGTTGTTCAAGGTGGTTGTGTGTGTAGGAGGCAGAAGCCCTGAATCCTTTTGTGGTGGGAAGAAGCCAGGACTCTACAGTCTGGCCTCCAGCTTTCCTATGGATTGTAACAATTTTATACACTGGTTATTCACTAAATATAATGGATACAGTAGGAGAAGTAATAGGAGCAAAAATAAAATAAAGCTACAGCAATATATTGTTTTAGGCTTCTAATTTTAATTTCTTGAGGTTTTAGGTGATTATGAAAGCACCTTTTATTATGTACCCATTGACTTTGCTTAATCCTGTCTATTAACTGCCTCTCAGTAACCTGAGAGTTTCTGCCACCGACTTAATTTCTCTGCTGGCTGTGGCTTCTCTCCCTTTGTATTATATCTCCATTCCCCCTTTTTCAGCTTGCTCTATATTTTGCCTTTGGCTTTAGAGGCCACAGGAATTGCTGTAACATCTGAGACAGTCTTGTGCCGTTGATATAGGGAGGAGAAACATGATTCAGTGAAGCATTCATTTCACTTACTCTGTTACAAGACATCACTTGGCTCTTCACACATTGTTTTGGCATGATCTTGACAGAGTAGCTGTATGAAATGCGTATCTTGACACAGGCACATAAATACATTACAGATGTGAGTATTAGAGCACATCTGCACCTTTTAATCCATTACTGGCAAGTGAAAACCATGAGACATAGTTCCAACCCTGTCTTCTCCTTGATTTAGCAGTGGCTGCAGGCAGGAGGTTTGGGAGAGGGATAGACCCTCCCTTGTCTGCCCTTTCATGACTGCCTTGGAAAGACACCGATCTGTGTCTTGGGACAGCTGTTATTTAAATGGATTCTTTCCCAAAGGGTTGTGTCTTTGTCCGTGTCCATCTTTGGCTTCTGTAGTGTTATTTCTTCTCTGCCCTTGAAAAGTAACAGAAATCAGTGCAGTCCAGTATGAGTCCATGCCCCCAGGTTCTGCATTTCATTTGCTTTGGACTCACCTTCACACTCCGGGTGTCAGCTGCAGAAGCAGGGAACAATGATCCTCAGGAAACATCTAAAGGAGTTTGCTTTGTGTGTCTGATTCCCACTGTAGCATCTCTTCCTGCTTCACCTGACCAGTGAGGCAGGTCAAAAAAGAGCTCATCACCCTTTTCTCCTGAGTGATCTCCTTCTTTGTTTTGGAGACTCACAGCTCCAGCTAAATCCTGTCACCAATAGTAAATCAGGGACAAATGCAGCCTGAAACAGCTTATTTTGGAGAGCACCCTCCCTACCACTCATTTGTTACTTGAGTTTCTTGGATTAATTCAAAGCAAAATACTCTGTGACAGTCAACCACTGATCAGATCTGCTCTCTCCTCACTAATGCTATTTCAGAAATTTCTTTGGCACAACTTTCCATGCAGCGTTGTAATTCCTGAGTTCATTAAAATATACGTAGAGACACATTTGTTATGCTGCTTCAGTTTTTTGTATTTTTTCTAAAGTCTGGAGCAGCCTGATCCTTACTGTGTGGCTTTGATTAATCCTCAAACATCTCTTATGCTGGGCTAACAGATGAGGGGCTTGAATGTGGGAGGGCATGTGCATCCTCGGTTCTGCAGAGCACTTGGAGCTGGTGCACCAGCTTTTGCCCAGTTTCACCCCAGTTATAAGGACTGTTCCTGAGGGAGACATGCTACCTGGGACCAAAGCCCTGGGGATGCACAGCTCTGTGATGTGAGACCTGCCCACAGCTATTGTGTGATTTGGACAGACTGTATGGGAACCACCAGCACAGAGATTTCCACTTCCTGAACCCTTCCCTAGCTTTGTGTGAAAGTAAATGAAGCAATGGTCTTGGTGGAGCTCTCCTAAAGTGGATGTGAAAACTATATTGAAAGACTAGTTACATGAAATATAGCAAAGAGAGATGATTAAAAAGAACTTAAAGGTGTTGTTTAGTCTGGAGAAAAGGAGGCTGAGGGGAGTCATGGTAACAGTTTTTAGGTATGTGGAAACTTGCTGCAAGGGGGAAAGTAAACTGTTCTTCATGGCCAAGAAGAATAGGACAAAAATAATGGGCTTAAATGGCTATAATGGGAGTTTGGATTAGATATGAGTAAAAAGCTTTCTATCCACAGAGATATTTAATCTTGGGAATAGACTGCATGGTGGCGCATCTCCATCCCCCGGGGATTTCTTGTTACAGGTTAGATGAATGTCTATTAGGAAAGGTTTTGCATAGCTAATCCTGCTTGTGATGGGAGATGATCTATTCCAGTGCTGGTTTTTATGGTTTTATTAGGGCACATCTATTCATGGAAGCACAGGAAGGACAGAGCTCATTTTGCCTCCTCTTTGAATAGTCTGAAAATGTCACAGGCCAAATCCAGCATCTGCATGGGCATGCTGGCCGAGGAGCAGGCATGTTCACCTCAGTGCTGGGCATACTAGCCTGTTCTCCATCTGATTTTATTTCAGTGGAAAGTGAAAATTGCAACTGTGCCCAGGAAAAACACCACAAGTGCTTTATACTTGGGACTATTTAGTAGTGCCAAATGTAATGGGAGTTTACAGCTCCATCATCACCTAAAAAGCCCAAACTAACCCCAGGCTGACCGTGTTCAAAGGCCATGCTTTTCTCCCACACTTGTGCAAGGCTCTGCACTGTTCAGTCCTGGTTACTGCTGGGGGTCCTGGCACTGCTGTTCACCTCCACAGCACTGAGGGCAGGCTTCAACAGTTAAAGTCAACACAGTTGTGAAGAAAGAAGAAAGGATGCCTGCAATTCAAAAGGTGACCAGCACAAGGGAGGAAATACTTGGCACCATTACAATAGTAATTTTTTGGCCTAAGGGACTCTGGTGTGACATACAGCAGCTTGTTAAGTCTCATTTGGTGTTTTTCTGTACCTTGGCACACTGTCACTTTTACCTCCAGTGCTACACATGTGCTTTATATACTTTGTACAGAAAATGTGGTTTCACTTGTTTTACCATCTATTAGTTCATTTTAATCATTTGGAAAAATCATCATACCCAGAGATGCCTGCTAGTCATTAGTGTGAGTCAGTATTGAGTTTGTGTTTTAATTATTTTATATTTCCTAATTATTTTCTATATTTCCATATGTATATATGGAAACACAGTGCATTGCTGGGAACTCAGCTGAAACATTTAGGTTTTGTTTAGATGTATTTGGTCTGGAGCAGGGACAGGACATTTCTGCTGTGGCCCGCAGTACCCAGTCACTGGTGCATCACAGTGACAACCACATGGATGCTGTGTGCAGGGTGATGTTCCTCTGAAATGATCACAGAAAATTCCACTTGCTTTGGCATAAACCCTGTTCTTCGGCAAGATTTGCCTGACCTGATTGTGAGACTAGATGCTGCTTCAGCTCCTGTCTTCTCCTGACAAATGTTCCCCATGGCACTACAAAGCCCTTGCACCCATGGCTGGGGGCTGCCCATCTCCCCCCAAGTCCTGACACCAGCCTGATACCAGGGGTCAAATCCAGCCCCTGGCAAGGCAGGGATGTGGATCAGACCCTGGTTTGCTCTGGTGTCCATTCCCCAGACTTCAGCTCTGCCTCTACATAGTGAAACTGGAAACAGATTTGCCCTCCTTCAGGTTTCAAATACGGACTTCAGTCTTTTTGAATTTCACTGACAAGCCTGGCCAGTGACTTACCATACCCTAATCCGCACATTGCTATTATTAGGATTCTTTTGTAAAATGTGTTCTTTGCTAGAAGGGTTATATCTGGCTTTGAACAGTTACTGTGTGATTTTAACTTTTCCTTATGATGGACTTTCCGTCTGTGTTTGTCAGCCTCACAGTGTTTCACAGTATTCCGCATAGGAAAGGTTGCTATCAGCACTTAAAAATTTGTGGAAGAGAAAAACAACGTTTAGGTAATTTAACATTTCTGTGACAAGAATTCTGAGTTTTTGTAAACTGGAAAAGTGACCCTTGCTTAAAACTTTAATAAATAGTCTAACTAGTGTAAAGCTGTGATTAGCAGTTACAGTTTTACTATAATTCTTTGCTTAAGTCTCATGAATGTTTTATTTCTAGGTTTCTTCAGTCCTTAAAACCAATGTAACTCAACTTTGTTAATTAGCAGAGAGGTGAAATACTAGCTGTCAAAGTATTATCCAGCTACTGCCATGGCTATTTTTCCTAACCACTTTTTTCTGTCTCTAGACTATGATGTCTGTGCTGAAGCACCTTGCGAACAGCAGTGCACAGATAACTTCGGGCGAGTCCTATGCACTTGCTACCCTGGGTACCGCTATGATCGGGAGAGGCACAGGAACAGAGAGAAGCCTTACTGCCTGGGTGCGTAAAAGTGTTGAACTGCTCCCTCAGGTCTTTTAGGAATCAGTTTAGATCTGAAACCTTTCTTATTCTCATTACTGTTACAGAAAAAATGTGGTTTTTAACTATGTTAAGGATTGGTTCCCAGAACTAAGGGATCTAAAGCCCCCCTGAAATTATTAGGAGGTAGTACCTAAAATGAGACATATGCACGCAAACACTTGTAATTTTCCCTTTATTAATTCCTCCTTCAGGTTTTGAGCCATATTTGAGGTTTTGGCCTGAGACAAGGGACATGATTCTAACAGTAACCCTCAAAGCACTATAATCAGGCCTAATTATGAAAATAAGTCCTTGGGGTTTGATTCAGATGGCAAAGGTCTAATCCAGGACTGATCATTTACATGTGGTCCTTGTGTGGCTAGTCCTGCCCTGCCCTGCGTGGTTTGCTATGCCAGGGAGACAAGATTTGCAGGATCAAGCTTTGCTTGTGAGTTTTTCAATGTGAAAAAATGGTCAAGAGATGTTCAGTGATAAAATAGTGCAGTTTGCACAGGGCTTCAGCCCAAACTCATTTATTTTGCCACAAAATCTCCTAATACCTTTAAAAGAAATCTTTTATTGTAATTGAGGTCTGAAACCTCCAGCTTTAGGACATTTTGAACTCTTCCTCCTCTCCAGACATCGATGAGTGTGCCACAAGCAATGGGACGCTTTGCTCTCAGATCTGTGTCAACACCATGGGAAGCTACAGGTGCGAGTGTCATGAAGGCTATACCCGGGAGGAGGATGGCAAGACGTGCACCAAAGGAGATAAAGGTATATGCTAGTGGACGTTAAAGGTCCTGGACCAAAGGGCCATCTAAAAGGTTGATCTGTCGTAAAAAGAAACTGCTTCCTGTGCTAAACTGGGAGATGGGTGTCTGAAGCTGGGATGTAGCTGATGCTCCTGGAGAGACCCTTTTGTTTACTGGGCCCCCGAGTGCCCGTGGAGCAGTCCTCCCTCACACTCTCCTCCTCCCCGGTTTATGAGCTGCACACACACAGCAGTAAATCAGTAGTCACTTCTATAAAGAAAGAGCACGAGTACATTGTAGGATGTAGAAATCATCTTCCCCTGGAGAGGCAGAGTGGCTGAATGGTGAAACTTGCCATTACAGCTTCAGTTAGACCATTACTACTGGATCCTCCTGCTAAAAGCCATATTTTACCACCACACCAACCTGGATTATACCTAGTTTGTGATCCAGAGCTCAGGAGACATAGGAAAAAAAAATTACCAGATGCTGACCCTTATAAGCCTTCATTAATTTCATTTATTAATTAAATTAATTTCAGTAACTTTCATTTGTATTTACATGCCTACATCTCAGATTAGCAAGTGGTCCTGGGTTGGGTGGTCTAGGCATTCAGAAGCTCAGAAAAGGTGTGCCTGGGAATTTCACATACTTTTCAAGCATTGCTTAAATCAATTGCTAAATTACATTGAGTAACACTGAATTCCGCTGACCTGTAATTAGTTTGTGTGTCTCGTGACTGCGGTCAGACTTTTTTCTTTCTTTTATGAAAATAATATGTGATGAGAAAGGAGTAAAAGTGAGGACTTGTTACTGCTTTTTACTGTTGGTTTCAAAGTATGTATGTGTGGTGTGTATAAATTATTTTAATGTTTTTGACCTCATCCCAGTTATTGAATTATAGCACTTAGAGTACTGCAGATAAAATACTGATATGATAATTTAAAAAGAAAGGAGGAAGAGAACAACCTGTGCTGTGGTGAAACAAAACAACCTCTTTTGATGAATGGTGACTTACCATAGGTTCATCAATTAATGCTTAAACACATGTATCATTGGGTGCTCCAAATCCCACAGGATGACCAGAGCAATTTATAATTTTGATTTTCCTCTGAAAACGTGTAACTGGAGCCATTCCATGAACTTTAATTGTTTCCAGTAGTTTTCAGATTTTTTTTTCCTTTAATAAGTGGAGTGCGTGTGTGTGATAAAGGAATAAGATATAACCTATGTAATCCCCTTGCAAACAGGTGTTTTAAGTTAAATTTCCTCTGGCTAGTTCAGATTTCCTTAAAGAGCAATGTCCAAAGTATTCAGGATAACCAACCATTCAAAATATTCAGGAATCTGGAAACAATTCTAATATTTGAAAAACACTAATTTTACACTGAATCTACATAGCACATAAAAATGTCAGTTCCAATAGTTAATCTGGAATGAAATACCCACCATCTCTCAAGACATCTCCCAAGTCAGCAACACAAAGCAGAGAAGGACAATCTCTGTTCTGTTACTCGGCTGTACTCCGACTTAACGTTACTAATTGCCAGACCTCTGGTGCAAATGAAAGAGGAGTTGGCCATCGCTGTTACACAGGACTTGTTTCTGTAACTCATCCTAAAGAAAATCAAGTTTTTTGGCTCCATGAGGAACCAGCTGTAGCGACACACCACCCCGTGGTCAGCCGCAGCCCTGCATCGCCCCGGAGAGCACCGTATCTGTGCTGGAATGACTTCCGAATAAACAGATTGTTTGCTTTTCATGGTAGCTGGAACACTTAAATTTTATTTCAAAATTTAGTGTGGGAGACATGAAAACACATGTATCCCTCTCCAGCTCTAACCATGTTGCAGGTTTCCCAGGAGATACTATTCACGTTTTCATCATGCCGTGCCTGAAGGCTGCAATCCAGGCACGTTTTTGGGTCTGTAAGTGGGCTTGACCAAGAGCTGTGGGTTTGTCAGTGGGCAGAAGAATAGGGAGCATTTTTTCCCGCATCCACAGTCGTGTTGCATTTGACTGAGACAATAGCTACCCGCGCAGAAGTAGGCAAATGAAACCATCTCAGCAGGCTGAGCCTAGATAATACAACACAGATGATCAACTCAACAGTCTCCATGTGAAGACCGCCCGCAGCACAGCTCCCCGCAGAGCTCTCCCCCGCCAGCATCTCCTTCTCTTCCAGCAACAGCAAGACAGAATCTTCGAGCACATGCAAAGAAAACACATCGCTCCCCCAAGCAGATCTCTTATCTATAGGCGCCACAGGGCTCACCGGTGTCTGGCCAAGATGAAAGGACCCCCATCAGGACAGCAACGTCATGCATGAGCTAGACTTTGTGCTTTGGAAAGCCTTGATGAAATGGGGCTGATTTAAGCCATCTCCAAAATAATTTTAGTTTCCTGGTGCAGGTCTGTACAATGGAAACAGGCTATATAAGTGCCTTGCTCAGTGCTGGCCATGCTAACCCTGGTGGGAGACCTCTGTTTCTGCAGCACACATGGGTGGCTCTGTCTAATTGCTTCCTGCCCCCTCTGCCCTGTCCTAGGTGGCTTCTGGCTTCCTCCGTGCTTTTTTCTGGCTTTATTCATATTTTGGTCCTGATACAGGATCGGATGGGGGTAGAACGAATGTTTGATGGATGACTCCTTCTCTGGGCAAATCATCACCTCTCTCTGGTATGAGTTAGGGGGATTCCACCTCTCTCCTGGGACACAGCTCACGCTTACTTATATGACACTGTTGGACTTCTTCCTCCGACAAGTCAATCCAACTGGATTTGTAGAAATCTCACTGGTATGATATTTTCCAAACATTAGCTGACCCCCCTAACATTCATCTCCATGGACTGTTACAGCCCTGTTTTATCTATATTTGTCAGCCCCGTGTGCCACAGCCTTCTGGAAGATAAATAAGATTTTATAATGAAACACGAGGCCAAATTCACTGCTTCTTAATCTGCACATAATTCCACTGATTCTAGTGGGATTACATTCGGTTTCAAATAGCAGAGGCTCTGGCAGTTTCTCCCTATGACTGTATGTTGCTTTCAGCAACATTTCTTAACACAATAAGAGGAAACTCATTTGGTAAGATAGCTACCAAAAGAAATTTTGGTTAAGACTAGTACCAAATGCAAACTTTATTTGAGTTTGAAAGAAAAAAGTTGGTTTTCCTAAAGGTTCTATATATACACATCCATAAATCATACACAAGTCCAAAAATGGACGTCAAAACACTGATTTTTTTTAAAGAAAGATGAAAAATTGGAGGAGAGGGGAGAACTCCATGAGGGAGCCACTATACTGACTTCTTACAGAAATATCAAGAGGTGTATTGATTATAGCATATCAGTTCCTTGTTAAGGGGAAAAAACCTGCATGGTGCAGATTCTTTATTCTATCAGAGGAAGGCTTATGGGCAAAGAGGGTTTGGAAGAAGTCAAAAGCAAAATGATCAGCATTAGAAATGCATCAGTGAGGAAGGTAACCAGCAGATGCTGTGTATTCATGTATCTTCACGCAGAGTCTGGAGTCTCTCTGGAAGGTATTGTGACCAAATAGTATTGGAGACATCATAGCTGCAATCTGGTGAAATTCTACTAAGTTATGCAGAGTTCATTGGAAAACCCTAAGTAGTACCTTTTGGCCTTAAATCTTTGAGCCACCTGAATACTGTCAGAAAGCTGTTCAGGTATTACCAAGCCATGCGCTATCAGGAAGGGCTGGGAAGCTCAAACAGCAGTGTGCTTACTGCCATAAAAACATTAAATAAATCACAGAATCATAGAATGGTTTGGGGTGGAAGGGACTTTCAAGATCATCTAGTTCCAACCCCCCTGCCATGGGCAGGGACACCTTCCACAAGGTTACGTATATTTATTATACATATAATATATATACATATTATTACATATAATATTATATTATTATAATAAATTGTGTATTGTAATGTCATTGGACTGCAGCTGTGGGAGCAGGCAGCTGATGAGTGGGGAAAACCCACAAGCCTTTGCCCCCTAATCTTCTGATCAGTTTAGTGCTAATACCAGTCTTAGTGCTGCTGGCCATTCCAGCATCTTGCCCTTACAGTCCTTTCCTACCTGGTTATGAGAGAAGAGAAATAAATCTTTGTCTTCTAAAAGCAAACATATCTGATGTACCATTATATCCAATGAGCTAGACATATCAAAAATCAGTTTTTCCTAAATTTTTGCACTGGTGGTCCATAGGTGACCATCTGATGGATGCAATATTCCTTATTGGACCCTGCAAACATTTAAAGTCAAGTACCACATAATATCTTTAGTATTAGAAACTTCTGTTCTTATTAAAAATTATGCAGATGTTTTCAAAATCAATATACATTTCTGAAAGATCAAGGACATTAAAGTGTGTGTCCAAGTGAGAAGTATAACACAATAGCTAAGCATATTGTAGCTGAAATTTTTTGAAGATTTTGAAGATTTGCTGGCTTTAACCAGAAGCACCTGCAGAGTTTTTCAATTACAGGACATGCTTTGAAAGGTCAGTGTTCAGCTGTGTCCAATAAACCTTCCAGTTAACATCATCCAAGGCCACACATCATATGCAGAGCTTCAATACACTTTATGCTTCTCAACAACTACATGTGGAAGGGAAAAAAGCTCACCTAGAGTTTACTGGTATGTGTCACCCTGTGTTTTGGAAACCATGTTTCTCTTTAAGCTGACATCTGTTAAAACGATGTTTGTGATGCAGAAGTGTTTCATTGTGTATGGGACTGGAAAAATTTCGAAAATAAGATTGTGATATCTCTTGAAGTTTGAATAATTTAATGGATTATTGAAAAGATCCCATTCATGCATACTATCAGCAGGTGTGACCCTTTGTCTTGTGTGGATTTAAATCCCTGTCATTAATCTTAACCCCTATCTCTGCTCAGGCCAATTTCATCACATGGAGGAATAACCAACGATGATAAAGAGCATTTTGTGTGAAGTGAATGAAATGACCATATTGTGAGGGATTTTACTGTAATTTATAGCATGTGAAAATTTGCCTTTTGGGGGACTGTAAATCAGTTCAGATCTATAGGGTTAGTCTACCCTAAACACAAAGATAAAAGAAGGGGTGTAAACTTTTTCAGGTATTAAAAAAAATAAATTATTTGGGGACTGTTAACTGGAAACAGCTGCTTTAAAAATGAGCTCAGAGCTATCCCTGCAAAGTTTCTCAGCCTTACATAGCAATTCACAGTCAAAGAATTAATAATGGCAAGGTTCTGTCCTCTTTTCACAGTCTGGAAAAATGTAACAACTTTCAAGTTGCTCTTGCAATCGCTTTATTAATTTCTTTCCTTTGGATCTTTATATTTGTATTGGAAACTGCTTTCTTTCAGCTGGGCTTCCTGAGAAATCTGAAAGTGTGGCAAAACCAGGGACATGCTGTGCCTCTTGTAAGGAATTTCATCAAATAAAGCAGACGGTTTTACAACTGAAGCAAAAGGTATGAACACTGATCAGCCATGTCTTTACCAGACCTGCATGACAACTAAGATTAAATTTAAGTGGTGCTGTCACTGCCATGTGGCAGTTGTGCCCATAAAGATGATGGCAACATATTTTAAAACCATGTAGGAATGGCATCTCTTCCTTATGCTTCTGTATTGCTTGTAAGCAGATTGCTAACCAAGCTCATGGTAACAGCATCTGGCAAACGCCCATCCCAGTCTGAGCCCAGGTTTCTTGGCAATCTGTGCTGGCCTCAGCTTTTCATTCATTCTGAATGCACAGGATTTTGGACTTGATCCACCTTTAGTATAAGCAGGTGCAAGACATTCTGCAGATGTGGGAACATGGGAGAACATGATTTTGCATTAATAGGGTGCTGATACAGGATTCTTGTCAAATAAGAGGTGTGTGGGTAAACAAAAACATCAGTAGCTTTGGGGGTATTTTTTAAGAAGAAAAAGCCTCAGTCACAACCTTTTTTATTTTCACCTGTGTCCATACAGTAGAGAATAATGCACTTAAAAACTTCCCCTGGCCTTTAACTTTAATTGCTATATGTGGCCTCCCTTTACACCTGAGTAGGATTGAAATAACCCAGAGATCCAGCCTAGAATTTGGAGATCCAAGTGCAGGGATGCAGGTGTAATTCCTTTTCTGGTGACATCTCCTTTAACTTTCAGGTTCTCTCAAATTGAAATGTTCTGCAGGAATATTCTCAGCAATTCATGTTGACAGGCTGCAATTATTTCACCCAGGGTGCTCATTTAATATCATTGTGTCAAAACACAATTTGGTGTACTCACTTGTTGCATTTAATGTTATTCATTCAGTGTCATTTATCTTAGGAAGAAATCTGCTTCACTAAAATGAAATACACTGAGGTTAGATATTCTTTTTATTTCAAAAATCTCAAAATGTCATGTTTTCCTTCTGAATCAGCATGAAGACAAATGTGGAAGTGACAGAATTTCATGTGTTGGTGGAAATTCTTTTTTCAAACAAAAGGTAGCAGACAGGTTAAAAAAGTACCTGTGCTTTTCAGTGGCTGTCCAGCTGCAGTCAGTGATGCTGAGATAAGGCACACAGTGACCTCCAGGGAGGGATCTGGGGTCACACTGTTAGCCAAGTTGTTTGCTGCAAGAATTGATGGAAACAAGTGGCCTGAATTAATGGCAAGTTTTCTGTGTTTAACTTCCACAGTTAGGTGTTCAAAACCCACTCCTGGAAAAATAGGACCATCAATACCTGTCTCTGTGGGTACTTGCACAGTATCTGTGGCCAAACTAAGCAGCTCAGTCTTGCCTCATAGCTAAGTTTTGTCATGGGCCATAGCATAAATTTTCCCCAAGTATCTTCCTGGTGGGACTTGATCCATTTGGCATTCTCAGAGGCTGCCCACTGGGTTATGCCTCACACAGACAGAGTTGGAAGAGATAGTCCCCTGGTACCCTCAGCACTTTTTACACCACAGAGGAAAGCTTTTGTTCATGCTGAGAGGACATCTGGCTTCATGCTGCTTCGTGTTTCACCAGCCACTCCCCATGACCAGGTTTTCCTGTGGAAGACATCTCTTAGTATCTGTGGTTGAAGCAGTTCTGTTTTGCACAGAAAAATTCATTTCTGTCTGCCAGAGCGACAGTTTATGGGAATGAGTCTTCAGTCTTGTGGTTAAGGCTTTCAGATTTTATGAACTTTATGCAAAATTACATATAGCAGAGGAGTCTGTGAAGGATCCAATCCAGCAAACCCTACAACTGGGAATTGGGGTATGCTTCTGAAAGTGGGAGGTGTGATTTTGTGTCTCCTTAGGAAAGGACAGGGGTGAACTCAAGTCCTGCTACCTCTGGTGATGGCACCAATACCTTTTTGGAGGATTGCAACATCCATTCCAGATCCAGGACACGAGTCCTGGACCAGGAGCGGAAAGTCATCTCGCATGCTCATCCAGAGGGATGCACTCTGCTGATGTACTGGGGGGCTGTGGGCAGTTCTAGGATGATCTCAGACCTTGACAGAAAGAAGAAGAATGCAAAGCTGAAAACCTGGGGGAAAGATATCTGACATGCTGACATACAACCAACAATTTAAAGGCAATCAAGTCAGCTGAATCCTATTGCACAGATGTGTTTAAACATGTTAATTAGAAAGCCGTGTTCCATATCACTCCTGTCAAGCACTGTCAAAGTCATCTAAACCACAGATCTCCTAGAAACTACCCAAAAGTCCAGATGCAGCTTACAACACAGCATATGGAACTCTTATTTCTAGTACTGTCTTTCTTTAAAATTTACCCTCACTAATATTTGCATGTACATGGAAAAAAAAAAAATTTCCAAGAGCCATTAAGATTTGGAGCTGTGGATGGAGAAAGCCAAGGTCACCCTGGACCAGGATCCTGATTCAGTTAAAAGGTGAAATAGTAATTAGGCTAGTGAGTATAGCCAATCCCTAAGAGGATGTGAGTCAACATCAAAAACACATGGTTTGGCCCCAGTTTATGTAGCAACCATTTCCTAGCCAGAAGATATCAAAGAACAGTGAGCTAGACCAGAGCCTGGGTATTTTGGCACTCCTAGTATAAGCCTTAAGTCCAGCTGACTCAGTGGAGAAGCATGTGTAGATGCTTTCACAGCAGCTATGTGATTTTTTTTTTTAACTTACTAAGTTGTTACAACATCTTTGCTGGCAGGAACAAGTCAATATTTAACCAACAGAAAAGAATACACTTCCAAATCATCTTCATGATGAGTCTTCACCACTAAAAGTACCTTTTTACCCTAGCCTGGCCATTTGCAATATAACCTGAAGAGTATACATGGCAGGGACTATATACTAAGTGATGTTTATTTATCAGCTGGGATAGCAATAGATCCCCAAAATAGGATCTGGTCAGAAATTTAAGTACAAGCTCTAAAGAGGACATCAGTTAATCTATGACTCAACTGTGGCCACCCCTAAGGAGAAATACTCACTGATGACACTGAAAATATTCCCACAGAAACTGCCCAGAAAATATAAGTCTCAAGTAGCCACAGGATTTAACTTTGTGTCTCAGTTTTAGCATGGCAGCATTGGCACTGCAGAGCCCTTGGTTGATTCGTTTCACATAGCAGAAGTTTTGCAGCATGATGGTCCTTGCAGCCTTCCATTCTTATCCACCCAGAACCCTGCTCTGGACAGGGTGGATGCACCTCTAGGAAACAAAACTGATCAGAGCCAGACCTCCCCATGCTGGTCCCTGACCCATGTGGCTATCAGAGTCCCCAGCTCTTGAGTTTTCCTCTTCAGCCCCAGATGTAACGTGCTGTGACCCATGGCATAGCCTGTTATCTTCAGCAGTCCCATGCTTTGGTCTGTGCTGCAATGGCTGGGGTGTTGGGTGAGAAAGATGCAAGGTCATTGGTAAACAAATAATTTTTCTTTGGAAACCAAACCAAATGCCCATCCCAGAGCAGTAGGTGTGCTGGATCCCCATTTTCTAGGAGAGAAGATACATAGTAGTAAGCACATAAGAAACACTCTGTGGGGCTTCTGTGAAGTGCTGACCTCATCCAGCCACTGATTTCTGTGGGAGTGGAGTGAATCTACCGAATTCTTCTAAGACTTACATCATGTCGCTTAAATGTGCCTTTAGTGCAGTCATCTTTTCTTTGGAACAGCAGTGCTCTCCAAAACCTGAGTCACAACTGGCTGATAAATCCTTGTATTCCTGTCATAGTATTTTGAATTACAGTCTGAAAAATCAAACCAGTGTTTCGGAAATGCCACTCAGCATTTTTAACCTTTTTTTTTCTCACTTTTGCTTCCTTCTGAACTGTTTGGTGCATCCAGCCACAAACTGCAAGCAGCACTGGCTGCCCTTGAAGTATATTCCTTAAGTAATAACTTGTTTGCCAAAATAAATCTGCTGAGTTATAGTATGTACTACAAGTACATAGCTTTATTTTTTTCTGTGCGTTGCAAACATTAGGTTTGCACTAAGGGCAGGAGGGTGTACATCAAATAATTAACAGAAACAAGTATGAGTCTTGAGAACAGTTCAGTGCAGGGAATTCCAAATAGCTGATTAAAAGCATTGTCAGATAGCAGGAGTCATCATGTATTTTATTTAATGCAGCTCTCCCATGCAAATGTTGCAGAATTCAGCATCAAATTGTCCAGTGAGCCAAATTCATTTATGGAGCAACAAAGATGACCCAGGGATAGATCTGCCCTGGTATTGCTGAAATAGCTCTTCAGTTCCATTTGGCAGAGCAAAATTTGCAACTCTATATGCAGCCACTCACAACTAATAAATGTCTTTCCTCTCTGCAGACAAGCCTCCTGGCTTGTCATCTCTCTTCAGCTGCTTCTGGAGAGACTAAACATTTGCAGAATATTTCTAAATAAGTTTAATTATTAAATATATGCAATCTGGGCAGCTTAATGTTTCATGGATAATTAAATATCTGACATAACGGATAATGACATTTTAAGCTATAGTGTGCAATTTTGCTTACATTCTTACTTCCTTTAGCTTTGTGTCTTTATGCACAGCAGATCCAGACTCCTGTTGGATTAAATAGCATGGTTACAGGGCCAGATGCACAAAGGGTTTGGGGCTTTCATTGAAACATATGGAAAGTTAGCAGCTTCTGCAGCAATTGAGAACTTAAGTATCTGAGCAAATGTTGCCCTGAGAAAGGGCAGTAAATTAATAGAGAAAACTTCAAATAAGGAAAAAGAGGTTTCTTGAGAAGATCCAAGCAGTTACAAGACCTATGTTTTTTACAACTTGTTGCTGTATCTCTTTCAAATTTCTCCTGCCCTCCATTTGGACTGGCTTGCAGTATTTCCACGGTGACTTGAAAAGTGAGCAACCTCACACAGTAACATTTTTTAAATTATTATTTCAGTGAAGAATATGAGTAAACATTTTATATTTCCCTGAAGGATTTAAATATGCTGTTTGTCCACATGAAGTCTTAACCAAGAATGTAATTTATTCGGATGAATGAAGAAGGGCTTACAGTGATTTTTGGTTTTGGCAGGTTGCTTTGCTACCAAATAATGCTGCTGATCTTAGCAAGCAGATCACAGGTGAAAAAGTGCTTGCATCTAATGCATATATTCCTGGTCCCCCAGGCCAGCCTGGCCAACAGGGCCCTCCAGGTAAGATACAGACCAGAAAGATGTGAATGTGCAGTAGTGCTATGAATAAACATAGTAAAATTCAATCTTTCAGTGTGATAGGATTTAATGTGTTTCATATTTTGATTGTTATTGTAATATTTGCATTTGTGCTAAATTTAAAAAGAAAACCTTTCTGGTCATTATGATCAGCCTCTGCCAACTGTCTAACATCATCCATTGTGTTTTAGTCTCCATGTGTTTCTTGGCATGCAAGCTGTGTTTGTCCTGTATGTGTTAAATTTCTCCCTCTCCCTGGGATATCTCACCTGCTTCAGTTGTCATTTCCTGTATTTTAACTCTGTCTTAAAACACTTTACATTTCATTGCAAGAATACCTGTTGCTTTAGCTCACTGTCATTAGTAGAGCAGAAGACGTGCTTTCAGTTTGCAGGGGTTTGTGCCAACTGTTTTAGTTGTGTTCATCTGGTTTTGCAATGATTCATTTGTTGGGTTTATGTTGTGTTCCAGATTCAAAGGAGTCTGAAAAGTAAAACTCCACTCACACCTTCTTTGTTAAGATATAGCTTCAAACAATGAGAAAAGCAGAGTTCCTGAAGCTCTAACTTAAGCCAGACACCTTGCAACTGGCAGCCAGTCATGCTAAAAAATTTGCAGACTCTGTTGAATGTAGATGTAATTTTGGGTTGGTAATAAATCCAAAGAAATTTAGCATTGTGCAGGATTTCAGGATGATTCTTACAAGTAGCAGATACTCCTTCCAAGGTTTGATTTACTCCCTACTGAACTGCCCCCTCACTTATCCCGACTTTTGCAGTCTTACTTTGGTTTTTGAGTCTTTATCTCGTTTTCTTGGAGGGTGAGTATCTTCAGACTTCAGTATATCATAAGTGCAAGGTTAGAGACTCTGCGTCAGACTCTGAACCGTACAGGGCTTCGCCTTGCAATCTCTCTAACCTAGGCCTGACTCTGCAGGTCTTCCCTCTGGTTCCCCCTTGACTGAGCTGTCCAGGGTCCTGCAGAATTGTCTGTTCGCCTGGAAGCCACCCCTGCCCACCTCCTCCTCTGCCCCGCCGTTAGCAACAGTGCGGCTGGGTCTTCAGGAGGAGTCGCAGAGTATCATCACCGAACTTGATCTTACTCCTTTTGAAAACCCTAACTGAACATATTCTGTCCTGCTGAGCCCTTTTTACTCTCTGCCTTTCATTTTCCATGTCTTTCATGTGCTTTCTGTATGAAGAAAAGAACTTTCCCTTCTCATTATAAAACAATTCAGCTAGTGACATTTTAATGGTCTTTGTTTTGTGCAAATGTTGTTGCAGGTCCCTGATTTTGTCTTTTTTTTCCCAGTGTTTCTCTTGAGCTAAACATATGCTTTACTGCCTGAGTGCTTCCTAAAAAATAACATTCTCTGCTGAAACAGCAGAAGCTGAAAAGGCTATAATGCAAAATGCAAGAACAGAGCATTTTTTGCCCCTAAAACATTGGCTATATACTGGGCAAAAGAGAGGTGCAACCCACCACTGAAAAGGGCTTGTTTCTATGCCAGTCATGTAGATGCCTTTGACCCAACATTCCCATGAGTTTTCTGAGGCTTTCTTTTTATGAGATGTTCCTCAAATATGACTTGTTCTTTTCTTCTTTGTTTGAAAATGAGGCATTTCTCTTTTCATTCCCAGCCTGTGTCCTTAACCACCTGGTAGTGGCAGTGTTGCTTTCTTTGCATACACAAGGTTTAATTTTTTTGTGAACATCTCTTGTACCTTCTGTGACAAGGAGTAATGTTGTCTCAGATGACTGATGTGTTAGTTGTGTTGTTATGGATTTGGGTGTGTTAAGGCAACCAGTCCATTGGGTGGTTCAAAAATTGATCAGTCCCCACTGCTTGCATTGATGAAGTGTCCTGAAGACTTTCCCTGGCAGGTAACCATTGCTGTCGATTGCAGGCGCTCCAGGACCAAAAGGGAGTCAAGGAGTTCCTGGGTCACCTGGACCTCCCGGACAGCCAGGCCCTCGTGGATCAATGGGACCTATGGGTCCATCTCCAGACATATCACATATTAAGCAGGGCAGACGGGGCCCCGTGGTCAGTATTCTCATCTCCCGTCATGCCTTGCACAGTTGGCCTTAGCTCCACAACTTCTCATGTCCCTGTGAACACTTTCTTTTCTCTTGCAGGGCCCACCAGGAGCCCCGGGGAGAGACGGTAGCAAGGTGAGGAGAGGTACTGCTTTCCATAACATGGGCACAGGCACATGTGAAGTGCAGGCTTGACAGAGTGACCCTCTACACACTTGTAGTCACACCCTTTTACCATCTCACTTCCTTTACTAAGCTGAAAACATCGTGTTGTCCCATCCCTTCATGTCTTCCTTCTGCTGTTCTGTGTTTGCCATTCCTTAAGTCTTGCAAATAGCCCTGCCAGGCAAGCTCCTTTCCTTTCTCTGCATCAATTTTGGCTTTTCTATGAAGAAGCATTGACACCTTAGCCTATTTCAGTAGACTGCTCTTTTGTGAATTTCTCCTGTTAACTGGTTTGCTTGCTACCATCTAGAAATATCAGAAATGCCCAACTCTGATCCCACTAGAATTAGTGGCAGTTTCCTTGAGTTCCTCCTTCACGTTCTTTTTCTGAGCAAGCTTAAGCTGATGATTCTTGATCTGGGGACAGTAAGTAAGGGAGTCTGCAGAGACAAACTGTGATGTTTTCTTTGTTTCCTCTAGTCACAGTAAACTAACTGAGGTGATATTGATTACAGGGGGAACGAGGTGCACCAGGGCCAAAGGGGATACCTGTAAGTATTGCTCACAGGAGGAATTTCCACAACAAGTTGATGTTGACTACTAACAGGTTGGCCAAAAGTCAAGAGAACAATGACAGATACTTTACATACATAGAAAATGTTACTGGAAAGGAAGTGATTACCTGTTTTCATACAAATGTTTTTTCCTACACACCTCTTCCCTTGCTGGATGGGACACTGAAGGCAGTAAGTGTCCCTCTGCCCTACAACAGCAGTGGGACATCCTCAGAAGGCAGTAACATGAGATCCCATGCAGAGTGCTAGTTAGTACAGTTCAGCCACCACTCTTAATGGAAGTTTGATCCCAAGAACCTTTTAAAATCCTGCCCTTTGTCTCTCTGGGATTTGGGAAGCTATAGGCTTTGAGCGACTCATCAGGAGGATTAGTATTTACAATCTGTTTTCAGGTGAAATTGTTTAAAAATTTGTTTCTTATGGTGTTTTCTCATTGGTGGAATGGATTTTTAAGTGTGACCACCAGGGTGTCCTTAGTATTAAACAGTGTACTTTACTATGTGACATCAGCTAAAAAGAAATTATTTTCTAAAATTAGATAAAACCAGATGGATACTCTCTGCATTGTAATTATCAATATATTTAGTAAGTGATGGACAGCAGCACGGTTACCATATAGAAGAGATACCTTCCAAATACCAACATTCTTGAGAAAATTTAAAAAAAAAAAAAAATTACTGATTTGTTAGTCATTCTAAGAATGTCATTTCTACCATTTTAATAAGAAGGCACACAGGGAACCAAGATTTATCTCCTCTGTTCCCATGAGATGTCCAGATACTCTTAGGAGGCAGATATAGCAAAGGAATTGTTAAGTAACAAAAGGGCTGAGCACCTTGTAAATGTAGGCTCTGTCTGCAAAAACAATTGCCTTCTTTTGAAATTGCTTCCTGAGCAAGTTGATTCAAAACCAGACTGTTAATTTTCAGCAATTGATATGAAGCAGTATTTTATCGAGTTACCTCTGAAAGAGTAATTATATCAACCTGTTTGAAAACTGGAGGAGCAAAGTGGATTATTATTAATGACTGTGCCTTGTGACTGCAGGGCCCACCAGGTTCATTTGATTTCCTGTTGCTCATGATGGCAGACATCAGAAATGACATCGCTGAGCTGCAAGAGAGAGTGTTTGGCCACAGGACTCATTCATCAACAGAGGAGTTTCCATTACCTCAGGAATTTACAAACTATCATGACACGGTAGATTTTGGATCTGGAGAAGACTACAAACCACGGACAGCACCCAGAGACTCCAGGATACAGAAGGCAGCCCATCCTTAGCTACACCTACTGAAAAATAGAGCCCCTTTACAGTTCTTCAATATAAAAATGCACTGACAATGTAAAATATATATATATAATTTCCTGGTTTTCTCTCTGCTTTTACCCAACCATGCTGCCTGTACTGTAGCTTTCCTGATTCATGGTAGCCTCCTTGCAGTAACTCCATACCATTAAGCCTGCACTGTGCATTGTACCTAGACTATCAAGAAAACCTTCTTAATATATAATACAATTAAGGCATGCTCTAGCTAATGGCACAGACCACAGCATTTCATCTGCCTACATTGCATTCTATGACCAAACGGCCCAGTACCCAAATTTTGCCAGGGGTAGAGTGGTAGCTGAACATCATTCCTGAATGACATCAATAGTGCAAACCTTTAATCCACAGTTTATACATGTAAATATATTATATCACTGAACTCAAGTCTCCAGCTACTGTCCCCAGGCTTAGGAGAACATGAAAAGTGGATCCCTGTTTCATAGCAGAGGCCATCTGTAAGTGAAATGTCTTCATCTATTATGTCCCACCATGGCAGGAAAAGGCAAAAAACATATGGTGAAGCTGTGATACAAGGGATCTGCTTCTTGATTTGGAAATTACTTGGCTTTGTGTGGCTAGAGTATCATTCAGAGACAGTTGAAAAGATGTGTTTGTCCTAAACTAACACTACTTTTCCCTTACCATTTTCCCACTGCTCAGTGTGAAGGCCAGTTCCCTTCAACAGATTCATGCTGGATACATTACACAAAGATGAGCAAGAGAAAAGGGGATATATAATGCAGGAAAACCAAACATAAGTGAATCAAGTAGGCTTACTGACAAGCACAGAATCAATCCCAGCCTTGCAGAAAGAGTTGGATTCTGACTTCCTGCAGGTTCATGTCTTCCTTGGTGAAATGCTGAAGTCCAAGTGAAATCAAGACCAGAGAGAGGCCTCATGTTTGCAAAGAGCTCCTATCTATTTTGTTCCTCTGCTGCATGAGAGCAACCTAAATGGCATTCACGGAACTGGAACACAGAGCTGCAGTGTGTTTGGCTGGGTATACAAGGACTATCAGTAGGTGCACGAGTGCACATGACAAAACACTTCAACCAGTACGAGGATGGCTAAGGTGAGGTACTGTACATGGGATCCTGTATTTGTGAAGAAGGATGAAAGGGAGTGCCCTTTTTTTACACTGGAAAATTGGATACACAAGTTAGACCATACCTCATGGATGATGTGTATTACCATTTCTTTTGGATTACCACAGCTGCTGAGGACTTTGCCATGCTTAGAAGATAAAGGAGTATATTAAGCACAAAACTTCAATGTTATATTTGCGTAGCTGCTACTTCTACAGTTTGTTTAGTGCTGGGTCATGTCCATGTTACAAATGCAAAGAAAAACTTCTTATTCTGCCATGTTTTTCAGGGCTTGCATGTTCTAATAGAATTAAATACAGGTAAAAATATAAGCAGGCCTTTTTCAGATAACCCATAAAGGTTTGGAGTCCCTTCCATATTCTCTGGGCCAAAAGATAGGTGGTGTAATCCCTACACCACCAGTACAGGTCATGTTGTACAAACAGCTGGCTGTCTAGGCCTTTCATATCTTTTGTGTATTATCTTAAGAGGATGTGTTCATTCCTGTAACTGTTTCCCAATTCCTCACTATCACTATGCCACAAGCAAGGGCATTAGCTTTAAGAACCTTAATGTTCTGTATTCCTTTTCACGTTATACGTATATCAATATTTACAAATCAATGACTACACCACTGGGATAGCTTGGAAAAAATGATAGCACTCTCACACTGTGGTCTTTGGGCTTCTCTTCTGGAAGGAGCTCTGCCAGCAGCTGCAGATCCAAGTAGTCTTGAGAACCAGATAGTAAGGAAATTGTGAGACTTGGGGAAGGAACTTGTGGCCAAAAGAGTAATGGTCTTATACACAGCAGGCTGAAAGAAACCTCTAAGATAGCATGAACTGAGGCATTTATGTCTTATTTTCTTAATTTCAAGCAGACAACTAGGTATAAATAACAGTTCATGAATATGCAGTTTTAAGTACATTTGTTAAATGTCAAATGTTATATTTGTAACTCTTGCCAATTATGTAACTCTTGCATATGTCTACCACCACACCCCATCACCTGCTGGATCAGGTTGATTCCCACTATAGAAGTAGTAGCTGCAGGGTTTTTTGACCATTGGATAGTGAATAATGAGTTTGATTAATCACTTCTGACATAGCAGCTAAATTCTATTGCCCCCTGCCCACAAGAAAATGTGTTCTAAAAAAGGCACTTATTTTAGTTCTAAGCTCTGCTTTTCCACATATAGACAAATACCAAATGAGAAGTTCCTACAGTTTGACCATCAAATTCAGGGGCGGGTGACAATCTCCCAGCTGCGCATCAGTATCCAAGGAAGGGAAATTCTGAGACTGGACAAGAAAAATAGATAAAATGCATGCTTCACTGTGAGTACAGAAAGCTGTCCTACTCATGACTCTTGAGCATAAAATATGGCATGTCTTTACATGCCTTTCTGAATGGAAACCTCAGTAACTTCCCTTTCTGGAGTCTGCATCATTGGTTTTCACAGCCTAGAGCTGGGTTTCCAACTGACATGCTTCATCCATTTAAAAAATGGTGAAGGAAAGTGCTCCTTGGTCCTTGTGCTTCACCCCGCTCTTTCCAGACTCCCTTCCGCAAAGCTGTTGGCTGCAAGCAGCAAGGAAGGGATACTACAGTAAAGATAAGTCCACTCAACATGACAGGAATTCTTCCAGCAGGGAGAGCCCCTCTGAGCACAGCTGGCTGGGAAGGTTCAGCTTTCTGTCTGCATCCAGCTAAAATATTTGCATAGACTTTTCTCATTTTATTTCTGATTAATTATATAATAACTTTCATAACACACTGTATCAGAGACATTTCATTAAGATTTGGGGATAAACACGTAAAGACACGTTACGTGAAGAAAAGTGACATTTTCTTCAGCACACCCAAAGTTTTATAAAGCCACAGCAGAGGCATCATTTCTAATCTTAAACGTCATTACTGGATAGCCAGGGAAGTCATTACATTGTAAATTATTTATTACTCTGTGGCTCCAAAAATAACAAACTCCCCCAAGAACCCAAATTAAGAATGTAGAGACATCTACACTCGTGCCTAGTTTAATTACCAGGCTCATGCACATGACAACTTTGATTCATAGAAATACTATGTATAATTTTATCAGAAAGAATTATTATTTTGATGTTAAGACATCAAGTTATAAGCAGAAGGATAATAAAGAGTTTGTTATTTTATTAATATTAGAAATATATTTAATGGAAACATTTTCAAGAGTGTGTAGTGATGGGAAAATGCTGATTGTTAATGGGTTTAACAAGATCGTAAAGCTTGGAAAAAGTTTTCTTTCAACACTGTGCCAAGTACATACAGGATTACTTTCTTGCGAAGCTGGAATACTGACACAGAATTCCTGTATAGTCAGGCTAATACAGGAAAAGGAGAGGAAAATTGACTGTAAATGGAATTAAGGAATGCCTGGAGTTATTGTTGGCATCACAGCTTGCACAACCTTCTTCCTAGAAGTATTTGAGAGTTAATATGCTAAGCCCCAGAAAAGCAAAAAAGATGGGAATGAGGTCCAAGCATTTGTTCGTTTCACATTAAAATCCATATGTTTGTACCTATTACACATTCCAATATCTATACTGTTCACTTTATTTATATATGAAATCCTAAATGTGTATAAAATTATTGTGATTTTATGATGTATTCATAATAACAAAGATATTTTTTCTTACACAGTTGGTAGCTGCTTTTGTTACACATTCTTTCTCTGAAAATACAGAAATGTTGGCTTGAAGAACAAAGTAGGAGGAAAACTTTTAGCATTTTTCTTGGAGTTGAACAGCACACACTGCCAGGACTACGGGGGTGTGAGGTCTTGCAGAAGGGGGTGGGTTTCTGTCTGTGGAAGTAAGGCGTGTAGCCAGCTCCACTACGAGGATGGCTGCTCGTGCGCCCGTGAGGGCTGCGTGATGGCTGGATCCGCCACCCTTAACCCGTGCTGCTGGTGTATGCAGCTTCTGCACTGCCTCAGGATGCGATATGGGGGACCACGGCTCTTCTAGCATCCCATCACCGGTACTGGGGAATAAAGAATAAGAGAAGGGCTCTAGTAGGCTGCGCCTGGCGGAGCCCCTCCCCGAAGCCCCAGGGGCATCCTGTGAGGGTGTTGTCCTTCCCCCCCCCACAACTACGGTGAGGGGCAGCAGCGAGGCCGGCTGTTCCCCTTCCTCCCTTCAGAGTCCACCCTGAGCCGCCACGGCCTCAACCCGGAAGCGCCCCGATGCCGCAGACACCAGCAGGGCTGTTCCCCGGCCGGGCTGGCTGCGGCGGGCGACTGCGGCCGCTGAGCGCAGGAGCGCGCCCCGCCCTGGGCGCGGGCCGACGAGATGCGGGGCTACGCCGAGCGGGTG